GTGAGTTTAGTTTTACGCCGCACTCAGCAATATCCCAGCTATATGACGGCGGTCTGTAAATAATCGAGATTGGACCAGACAATACAGTGATCAACATCGTGAGCATCGTTCTACGTAATTGGGATACGATGACATGTGTCAACCAAGTCAACTAGCTTATCCACCCTATCCCTTTAGCCGCCTCTTACGGCAAGCACAGGTTAATGAAGATCAATTCTAACTCGGATCTTCACGGGTGAACAGTGTATGGTGCTGACAAACCTACAAACATGATCGGGATTCGAACCTATACATTTTGGTTACTGCTGTGATCAAGGGACACAACTCCGCATAACTAAAGCGGTCTCTAAAATAACGCAATAACGAAAGTTCGTTTTTGAAAAAGAAATTATTATAACTTGAAATGAACTGCAAATATCTACCGTACATTCCAACGCCCATTTCCATTCTTATGCAACATTGCAAAGTATCCAGACGCAACACCCTTTGACCTAACGCACGTAATATCCCTGTCAAAACCTGAAAGGCATTTTATCTGGTAACGCAGACATTATCATCCAGAATAACACTTTTATGAGGAGCTAAGCCCCATTTACTATTTCTTCGAGTCAATGCACTGGGTTTTCCCCCTTTTTGCAGTATTAAAGATGATTCAGCCTACCAAGCAATAATACATGGTAAATAGATCTAGTATATTTTTACCGACTGTTGACTAGGTGAGTCATGGTGTGGACACTCCTGTCTGAATTCACCTCACTCCACTAGCAGTCTCGTTGCTGGCCAACCAGTCTGTTTCGACTGACACAATGTATCAGTGAGTGAGTGAGTTTAGTTTTACGCCGCACTCAGCAATATTCCAGCTATATGGTGGCGGTCTGTAAATAATCAAGTCTGGACCAGACAATCCAGTGATCAACAGCATGAGCATCGATCTGAGTAACTGGAAACCGATGACATGAGTCAACCAAGTCAGCGAGCCTGACCACCCGGTCCCGTTAGTCGCCTCTTACGACAGGCATGGATTACTGAAGATCTATATTCTAACCGGGACCTTCACGGGTAACGATGTATCAGTTAAATATACAATTCATACATGTCCGCAGTATCTGTTCGGCCAGTCATTCACATGTATATACACGTATCAGTTCGGCCAGTCATTCACATGTATATACACGTATCAGTTCGGCCAGTCATTCACATGTATATACACGTATCAGTTCGGACAGTCATTCACATGTATATACACGTATCAGTTCGGCCAGTCATTCACATGTATATACACGTATCAGTTCGGGCAGTCATTCACATGTATATACACGTATCAGTTCGGACAGTCATTCACATGTATATACACGTATCAGTTCGGCCAGTCATTCACATGTATATACACGTATCAGTTCGGACAGTCATTCACATGTATATATACACGTATCAGTTCGGACAGTCATTCACATGTATATACATGTACACGTATCAGTTCGGACAGTCATTCGGACATGTATATACACGTATCAGTTCGGGACAGTCATTCACATGTATATATGTATATACACAGTCATTATCAGTTCGTATCAGTCATTTCACATGTATATACACGTATCAGTTCGGACAGTCATTCACATGTATATACACGTATCAGTTCGGACAGCCATTCACATGTATATACACGTATCAGTTCGGACATTCACATTCGTTCGGACAGTCATTCACATGTATATACGTATCGTATTCAGTTCATCAGTTCGGACAGTCATTCACATGTATATACACGTATCAGTTCGGAGTCATTCACATGGTATCAGTTCGGACAGTCATTCACATGTATATACACGTATCAGTTCAGACAGTCATTCACATGTATATACACGTATCAGTTCGGGCAGTCATTCACATGTATATACACGTATCAGTTCGGACAGTAATTCACATGTATATACACGTATAAGTTCTAGGAGTCATTCACATGTATATACACGTATCAGTTCGGGCAGTCATTCACAATTATATACTCGTATCAGTTCGGACAGTCATTCACATGTATATATACACGTATCAGTTCGGACAGTCATTCACATGTATATACACGTATCAGTTCGGACAGTCATTCACATGTATATACACGTATCAGTTCGGACAGTCATTCACATGTATATACACGTATTTGTTCAGGCAGTCATTCACATGTATATACACGTATCAGTTCGGGTCACGTGATTATGTTCACATAAAACCCGTATATGCATTTTTAAATTTGATTTGGTGTTATATCGCGCATACCTTTTGAATATCGGTACGTCGATTTTCAAAATTGACTTTTGTAAACTGAATGATCTGTGCAAACTACAAGAAAAAACTGTCACATTCCATGACTTGCACGTGAAAACTGTCGGTTTCTCAAGAATGTCAGTCTTGCTAAAGGTCATCGATATTTTCTTATGGAAGACAAATACCTTTTCTGAATTTCGATCTTTAAAAATTGTCCTGCAGCTATATTGTTACCACAGATGCGTTTCGTTTTGTAAAGAGTGTACAAGTTTATTGCATGAAATTACGCTCACTGTCTGTTAGCCTGTTTGAGAAACGTTAACCAACCAATCGTTGCGGCCCTTTCCAATCGCATTCATTATTTCACTACAAGTTTTAACCCCCACCTGTTACACATCCGATTTCTATTGCTGATCCGGGTGCCTATATCCAGCTGAGTAACCTTTACGACCTACCCAACCTGATTCCTCGTCACAATGTCCATCTCAAGACACTTTAAGTCATGACCCCCATCCCAATTCATTATGAGAACCTTCATTCTCCATCCACTAACCGGACCCAAGTGATCACACCCCGCTACCTTGTTTCTGTTCATAACCACGCTATCAAATCCTCTTCATTACGCCCACGCTATCTAATTCCTGCACATTACGCCCATGCTATCTAATTCCTGTACATTTCGCCCCTGCTATATAAATAATGTACATTAGGCATCTGCTATCTGATTCTTGTACATAACGCCCCTGCTATATAAATCCTGTACATTACGCCCATGCTATCTAATTCCTGAACATTACACCCCTGCTATCTAATTCCTGCACATTACGCCAATGCTATATAAATCTTGTACATTAGGCCCCTGCTATCTAATTCCTGTACATTACGCCCCTGCTATATAAATCCTGTACATTACGCCCCTGCTATCTAATTCCTGAACATTACGCCCCTGCTATTTAAATCCTGTACATTACGCCCACGCTATGTAATTCCTGTACATTACGCCCCTGCTATATAAATCCCGTACATTACGCCCCTGTTATCTTTTTCCTGAACATTACGCCCTTGCTATATAAATCTTGTACATTACGCCCCTGCTATCTAATTCCTGTACATTTCGCCCCTGCTATATAAATAATGTGCATTAGGCCCCTGCTATCTGATTCTTGCACATTACGCCCCTGATATCTAATTGCTGAACAGTAAGTTCCTGCTATCTAATTCCTTTACATTCATTCACTATCCACTAACCGAACTCTGGTGATCTTGTTTCTGTTCATAACCACGCTATCCAATTCCTCTACATTACACCCAGGCTATATAATTGCTGCACATTCCGCCCACGCTATCTAATTCCTGAACATTACGCCCCTGCTGTCTAAATCCTGTACATTACGCCCCTGCTGTCTAAATCCTGTACATTACGCCCAGGCTATCTAATTCCTGTACATTACGCCCATGCTGTTTAAATCCTGTACATTACGCCCATGCTATCTAATTCCTGTACATTACGCCCATGCTATCTAATTCCTGTACATTACGCCCACGCTATCTAATTCCTGCACATTACGCCCCTCTGACTAATTCCTGTACATTACGCCCATGCTATCTAATTCCTGCACATTACGCCCCTCTGACTAATTCCTGTGCATTACGCCCATGCTATCTTATTCCTGCACATTACGCCCCTCTGACTAATTCCTGTACATTACGTCCCTGCCATCGGATTCTTGTACATAACGTAAAGCTAACTAATTCCTGTACAATACACCCCTTCTATATAATTCCTGTACATTACGCCCATGCTATCTAATTCCTGTGCATTACGCCCCTGCTACCTAATTCCTGTACATTAGGCCTCTGCTATCGGATTCTTGTACATAACTCCCCTCTATCTAATTCCTGTACATTACGCCCATGCTATCTAATTCCTGTACATTACGCCCATGCTATGTAATTCCTGTACATTAGGCCTCTGCTTTCGGATTCTTGTACATAACTCCCCTCTATCTAATTCCTGTACATTACGCCCATGCTATCTAATTCCTGTGCATTACGCCCCTGCTACCTAATTCCTGTACATTAGGCCTCTGCTTTCGGATTCTTGTACATAACTCCCTCTATCTAATTCCTGTACATTACGCCCATGCTATGTAATTCCTGTACATTACGCCCATGCTATGTAATTCCTGTACATTACGCCCCTTCTAAGTGCTTTTTGTACATGTGTAATGACCTTGCACGCAAACACATACAGATATACTCAGGCAAACACATACCTTGTACAGACCCACAGACCCACTGACACACAGAGACAGACAGAAAAACACATGGATACACATACATCGTGGGTTTTCCTGAAAAAAAATGATACACGCCGGCACACAAGTAAACGCACGCACGCTCACACACATCAACACTACAATCATAAAGAAGATTTAAGCGACCAGCCTCTACCCTGCGTCCCTTCTGGATTCACTCCTTCACCATCACCAGTCTGCTAAACCATAAATAACAGGATCTCTCACTCGACAACATAGGTTCTCGTACTAGGATTTATGAGTTGGCAATAACTAGTAGGGTACAAATCGTGTGCATTCACTGTAGCAAATAGTCTTTATAAGAGTTCTTTTGGCATTACTGTATTTGTAGGCCTTTACTTGATTACTATAGGTTGAGTAGGTTGCGGATTTCATTGAGGAGAACATATAATAAAGGCAAGATGACTTAATTTATAACTATGATGGTAGTAGGCGGGGGCAGAGGTAGAGAGAGATGGTAGTAGGTAGCGACGGGGGCAGGGGTAGGAGTGTGATGGTAGAAGGCAGGGACCGGGGCAGAGGTAGGAGTGTGATGGTAGAAGGCAGGGACGGGGGCAGAGGTAGGAGTGTGACTGTGATGGTAGAAAGCAGGGACGGGGGCAGGGGTAGGATCGTGACTGTGATGGTAATAGGTAGGGACAGCGGTAGGGCTAGGAGTGTGATGGCAGAAGGCAGGGACAGGCGCAGGGGTAGGAGTGTGACTGTGATGGTAGAAGGCAGGGACAGGGGCAGGGGTAGGAGTGTGACTGTGATGGTAGAGGCAGGGACAGGGGCAGGGGTAGGAGTGTGATGGTAGAAGGCAGGGACAGGGGGCAGGATGGTATGAGACGTGAGAGTGTGATGGTAGTAGGCATTGACAGGGGCAGTGGTAGGAGTGTGACTGTGATGGTAGTAGAGGAGGGACAGGAGGCAGGGGTAGGAGTGTGATGGATGGTAGTAGGCAGGGACACAGGGGCAGGGATAGGAGCGTGACTGTGATGGTAGTAGGGCAGTGACAGGGGCAGGGCAGGAGCGTGACTGTGATGGTAGTAGGCAGGGACAGGGGTAGGAGCGTGACTGTGATGGTAGTAGGGCAGGGACAGGGGCAGGGGTGGGAGTGTGACTGTGATGGTAGTAAGGCAGGGACAGGGGGGCAGGGATAGGAGCGTGACTGTGATGGTGGTAGAAAGGAGCAGGGACGGATGGTGGTAGGCAGGGACAGGGGCAGAGGTAGGAGCGTGACTGTGATGGTAGTAGAGCAGGGACAGGGGCAGGGGTAGGAGCAGTGACTGTGATGGTGGTAGGCAGGGACAGGGGCAGAGAGTAGGAGTGTGACTGTGATGTGATGGTAGTAGGCAGGGACAGGGGCAGGGGTAGGAGCGTGACTGTGATGGTGGTAGGCAGGGACAGGGGCAGGGGTAGGAGTGTGACTGTGATGGTGAGTTGGCAGGGACAGGGGCAGGGGTAGGAGTGCAGTGATGGACTGCATGGACAGAGGGGTAGGAGGCAGCTTGTGAGGGAAGAGCAGGGACAGGGGGCAGGAGCGTGACTGTGATGATAGTGAAGAGAGCAGGGACAGGGGCAGAGGTAGGAGTGTGACTGTGATGATAGTGGTTGGCAGGGACAGGGGGCAGGGGTAGGAGTGTGACTGTGATGGTAGTAGGCAGGGACAGGGGCAGGGGGTAAGAGTTGACTGTGATGGTGGTTGGCAGGGACAGGGGCAGGGGTAGGAGTGTGATGGTAGAAGGCAGGGACAGGGGCAGGGGTAGGAGTGTGACTGTGATGGTAGTAGGCAGGGACGGGGGCAGGGGTAGGAGTGTGACTGTGATGGTGGTAGGCAGGGACAGGGGCAGGGGTAGGAGTGTGACTGTGATGGTGGTAGGCAGGGACAGGGGGCAGGGGTAGGAGTGTGACTGTGATGGTAGTAGGCAGGGACAGGGGCAGGGGGTAGGAGTGTGACTGTGATGAGTAGAAGAGAGTAGGGACAGGGGCAGGGGTAGGAGTGTGACTGTGATGGTGGTAGGCAGGGACAGGGGGCATGGGTAGGAGTGTGACTGTGATGGTGTTAGGCAGGGACAGGGGCAGGGGTAGGAGTGTGACTGTGATGGTAGTAAGAGCAGGGACAGGGGGCAGGGGTAGAGTGTGACTGTGATGGTGGTAGAGCAGGGACAGGGGAGCAGGGGTAGGAGTGTGACTGTGATGGTGTTAGGGCAGGGGACAGGGGCAGGGTTGGTGTGTGAGCAGGTGGTGAGGGACAGGGGGCATGGGTAGGAGTGTGACTGTGATGGTGGTAGGCAGGGACAGGGGGCAGGGGGTAGGGTGTGACTGTGGCTGATGGTAGTAGGGCAGGGACAGGGGCAGGGTGTGAGGATGTGACTGTGATGGTGTTGAGGCGGGACAGGGGCAGGGGTGGGAGCGTGACTGTGATGGTGGTAGAGCAGGGGACGGGGGCATAGGTAGGAGTGTGACTGTGATGGTGGTAAGGCAGGGACAGGGGCAGGGGGTAGGAGTGTGACTGTGATGGTGGTAGAGCGGGGACAAGGGGGGCAGAGGTAGGAAGCCTGACTGTGATGGTAGTAAGAGCAGGGACAGGGGCAGGGGTAGGAGTGTGACTGTGATGAGTGGTAGGGCAGGGACAGGGGGCAGATGGGAGTAGGAGTGTGACTGTGATGGTAGTAGGCAGGGACAGGGGCAGGGGTAGGAGTGTGACTGCTGTGATGAGTGAAGATATTGTGAGAGCGGGGACAGGGGGCAGGGGTAGGAGATGTGAGCTGTGATGGTGAGTAGGCAGGGACGGGGGCATGGGTAGGAATGTGACTGACCTGTGGTGGTGAGAGCAGGGACAGGGACAGGGGTAGGGTGGAGGAACTGTGATGGTAGGCAGGGACAGACGGGGCAGGGGTAGGAGTGTGACTGTGATGGTGGTGAAGGCAGGGACAAAGGACGGGGGTAGGGTGTGACTGTGATGGGTGGTGGTTAGGCAGGGACAAGGGGGCAAGGGGGAGTAGGAGCACTGGATGAGGTGGGTGGTCGAACAAAGGAGAAATTGGCAGAACGAGACTGTGATGGGTGAGTGAGGTCGGAGCAAAGAGGAGAAGCAGGAGCAAGACTGTGATGGTGGGTAGTCGGGCAAAGGGTTGCAGAAGCAGACTGGCGATGGTGGGTGGTCGAACCGAGGTTACAGGAGCTATGTGATGGTGGAGCAAGGACCAGCAAGGACAAGAACAGACATGGAATTCAACGTAGTAACACACAAACACACAGACACCCGAATGGAACAACAAGAATGGCCCTTATTGGATGGAAGACCATGACCACGGAAGCAATCGACACACATGGACCGACCCCAACTGCACTTGACCAAGAACTGTATCATGAATGGAAGGAATGGAGGAATGATATGGACCGAGCGGAAATAGAAGACAGAATAGAAATAGCTGACTGAAAGGAAATACACTTGAGAACTGGATGTGACGACTAGAATGGAAGGAACAAAGAGCCTGAAGAATAAGAATGGATGGATATAAACAATGACACATATGAAATGGAATGAAACTGATGAGTAGTAAACGGAACAAGGAACATAAAATTTATCAATATCGAATAACAAAACAACTTCTCTCTCTCCGTTAATGACTGTGTAAACCAAGGAAGCACCATAATATGCAATTAGCTGTCGAGATGAGGTTTCATGACCTTCTCCCGGCATACCTGACAGGGAGAGTCACACGCTGGGTAGGCGGCAGTACCACAAATGAATGCCGTCACAGGCTATTCTTGTAAGGATGCCCGTTTAAAAAGATAAATAACAGAGAAACGTGACAGCCATTTTCAGATCAATCCTAGGATATGAATTAACAGGATGTATCCTCAAACTGAGAATAAATCAACTTGATACAGCTTTGTATAGGATCAAACCTAATACCAAATCTCATTCTGACGCCCACTTTTAAAGGAAGTAAACTATGATAGTGTTAAAACAGACAAGGGCAAAATTAACTGATGGAGTATTAAACAAAGGACAAGAACAGAATAAAGGCGACTATGATAGTGGTAAAACAAGGACAAAGGCAAAGGTGAGTAAAAGGACAAACGACAAATGGAGTAAAGGAAATGGAATGAAGGATGAAAGAATAGTTTAAGCATTATCCTGCCCTTCCGATACATCTCCAAAGAAGTATTCAGATCGTATATCAATAGTTTACGCATCAAACACTCAATTTATTCAAAGTCTTATTCATATTAGTAAACAGGACAGGGGCAAAGTAAAACCAGTTAATGATAACAATAAACAAGAACGGAATGGAGATGATGAAGTATGGCATGGATGGAACAGATAAGGAACGTGAATTATGATGGTAGTACAAGCAGTGGCAAACAGAACGAAGACAAAGGCAATGGACTGTGATGAAGTGACAGTGAAAGGTCAAAGTGGAATGGAACGGCTTCGATAGTAGAATGGATAACGTGCGAGCATGGAAGGTAACTGTGATGATAGTGGTAGAAACAGGACAAGGAGTAGGAAGGGAATGGATAAAGTATTAGGCAAAGGGAACAGGACAAGGGTTAGGTGCATTGCTATGATGGTGAAGAAGAAACAGGGACAAGGGGCAAAGGTAGAAGTAATGACTGTGATGATTGGTAGAGGCAGGGACAGGGGCAGTGGTAGGGCAGTGACTGTGATGGTGGATAGTGACAGAGGAAGGGCAGGGGTAGGAGTGTGACTGGATGGTGAGAGCAAAGGACACGGCGGAATGGGTAGGAGTGATGACTGAGGATGGTGTTAAGAAGAAGCGAACAGGGGGCAGGGGTAGGAGTGTAACTGTGAATGGTTGGCAGGGACAGGGACTGGGGATAGGGGGAGTCGAACTGTAGGGATGGTAGCTGTAAAAGGAAGGGACAGGGAAAGGGTTAGTAGGAGATGTGACTAATGATGGTGGTAAAGGGAAGGGGCAGAGGGTAGGAGTGTGACTGTGATGGTGGTAGGCAGGGACAGGGGTGAAGAGACTGAACTATGATGGTGGGTCAGTCAGGCAAAAGGAGAGAGCAGGAGCGAGACTGTATGATGGTGGGTGGTCGAACCGCAAAGGGAAGAGGGGCACAGGCAAGAGACTGTGATGGTGGGTGGTCGGGCAAAAGGGAGAGACAGGAAGGGACTGTGATGGTGGATGATCAGGGCAAAGGGAGAGGCAGGAGCAAGACTGTAATGGTGGGTGGTCGGGCAAAGGAGAGGAGCAGGAGCGAGATGGTGAGTGTGGTCGGGCAAAGGAGAGAGCACGCAGGAGCGAGACTGTGATGGTGGGTGGTCAGACAAAGGGAGAGGCAGGAGCGAGACTGTGATGATGGGTGGTCGGGCAAAAGGAGTTAACAGGAGCAGAGACTGTGATGAGTGCGAGGTGGTCAGGCAAAGGGAGAGGCAGGAGCGAGACTGTGATAGGTGTGGTCGAGGCAAAGGGAGTTGCAGGAGCGAGACTGTGAATGGTGGAGGTGGTCAGGAGCAAAGGGAGAGGCAGGAGCGAGACTGTGATGGTAGGTGGTCAGGCAAAGGAGAAGCAGGAGCGAGACTGTGAATGGTGGGTGGTCGGGCAAAGGGTTGCAGGAACGAGACTGTGTGGTGGAGTGGTCGGGCAAAGGGAGCAAGCAGGAGCAGAGACTGTAATGGTGGAGTCGTCGGGCAAAGGGAGAAGGAGCAGAGACTGTAATGGTAGGTGGTCGGAAAAGGGAGAGACAGGAGCAAGACTGTGCATGGTAGGTGGTCAGGCAAAGGAGAGGCAGGAGCGAAGACTGTGCTATGATAGTGGGCAAAGGGAGTTGCAGGAGCCGAACCGATATAGAGAGGTGGTCGGGCAAAGGAGTGGCAGGAGCGAGACTGTGATGGTAGGTGGTCGGGCAAAGGGAGAGGCAGGAGCGAGACTGTAATGGTAGGTGGTCGGGCAAAGGGAGAGGCAGGAGCGAGACTGTAATGGTGGGTGGTCGGGCAAAGGGAGAGGCAGGAGCGAGACTGTAATGGTAGGTGGTCGGGCAAAGGGAGAGGCAGGAGCGAGACTGTAATGGTAGGTGGTCGGGCAAAGGGAGAGGCAGGAGCGAGACTGTGATGATGTGTGGTCGGGCAAAGGGAGTTGCAGGAGCGAGACTGTGATGGTGGGTGGTCGGGCAAAGGGAGAGGCAGGAGCGAGACTGTGATGGTAGGTGGTCGGGCAAAGGGGAGGCAGAGCGAGAGACTGTAATAGTAGGTGGTCGAGGGAAGGCAAGGAGCAAGACTGTGATGGTGGGTGGTCGGGCGAGGAGAGGCAGGAGCGAGACTGTGATGTGTGTGTCGGGCAAGAGAGAGGTTGGAACTGTAAGTGTGTGGTCGGGGCAAAGGGAGAGGAGCGAGACTGTAATGGTGTGTGGTCGGACAAAAGGGAGAGGTTGGAACGTAAGGTGTGTGGTCGGACAAGGGGAGAGGTTGGAAACAGTAATGGTGTGTGGTCGGACAAAGGGAGAGGTTGGAACGAAAGTGTGTGGTCGGACAAGGGAGAGGTTGGAACGTAAGTGTGTGGTCGGACAAGGAGAGGTTTGAAGGGGCGTGGTCGGACAAGGGAGAGGAACGTAAGTGTGTGGTCGGACAAGGGAGAGGTTGGAACGTAAAGTGTGTGTGGTCGGACACGGGAGAGGTTGGAACGTAAGTGTGTGGTCGGACAAGGAGAGGTTGGAACGAAAGTGTGTGGTCGGACACGGGAGAGGTTGGAACGTAAGTGTGTGGTCGGACAAGGGAGAGGTTGGAACGTAAGTGTGTGGTCGGACACGGGAGAGGTCGGAACGTAAGTGTGTGGTCGGACAAGGGAGAGGTTGGAACGTAAGTGTGTGGTCGGACAAGGGAGAGGTTGGAACGTAAGTGGGTAGTCGAGCAAGGGAGTGGTAGGAACGTAAGTGGGTAGTCGGGCAAGGGAGTGGTAGGAACGTTAGTGTGTGGTCGGGCAAGGGAGTGGTCGCAACGAAACTGTTGTGGAAGTTGGCGGGAACGTGGGTATGGGTTTAGGTGTGGGCATGGGCGTGGACGTTGCCGTGGGCATGGGCGTGAACGTTGCCGTTGGCGTAGGCGTAGGCGTGGGTGCGGTCGTGGGGTTTGGTAGGTAAGGGTAGGAGCGTGATTGTGATGGAAGGTGAAGGGGTAGTGGAAAGGTAGGAGCGTGACTAATGGTGACTAATTGTACAACAGTTGAAATGGTTTCACAGGTGTACTGTATTTCTAGTTAAAGTTGGTAAACAAGGGAGTCTACAGTGTCATGTAAGACAATGACGCACTTCTGTATCGTATTTCAAATTTAATTCACTGAAGTAATATTCTGTGACAATCCACATATCAAAATTATAACATACTTAAGGCGAAATAGATACACTGAATAGTCTGACGATAAATGTCCTCCCACGCCTACAGGACAAGGATCGGCGTCAATGTCATCAGTAAATCAATGGCCTCATATTGATGAAACGGTGCTAATTACACACTACTAGTACAGCGATGTCTTCTCGACAATCTCTTCATCTCTGGTCTGGACCCATATCGTCAGTTGGTCATTAGCCGATTTTGATCATCTTTCAATGCGTGTACTTTTCTAAGGTAGGAATCGTGTTCAGAATGTACTTGATATTTGATTATATACCAAGAAACTGTATCGGTGGTTTAAGTGTGGTGTCGGTATTTTACTGACGGTGCAGTGATGGTTGGGATCGCTCTGATACTTAGACCGAGCTTGAAAACAGCAAATATCAAAGGTGTTCTTACCTTTAACAATGGTTTTCGTAAAGGAATTTATTTCC